TAAATTCAATGGAAAACGTCAGCTAAACTCATATCATTGTGGGAAAATTCTACTATCAGTCCTTCATCACCTTAGACGAAATAGGGTGAATACATCTCATTATATGAGATGTAGTCTCTAAATCCTACTTATAAACGAAAAAAAGTCATTCGTATTCGCATTGATCGGGATTTTAAGACTATTGATAGATCTTAAATTAAGCCTTTATTCAAGGTCTTTTGGTAATCTTAAAATCCTACTTAAAATAAATTCAAGTCTCTACCAGATTATTATCATACCTGCCTCGACGATGAAGTGTGTGAATAATGATCGAACGACGATGATGAGACAGCCTTTTCTACCTTGTCATGGCCTCACCAGCATCCCCAGCGAAATTCTAGTAGAGAACTTATGGGCTAAAAGGCGAACGCATTGTACTTGCTAGTCACACTAAATTAGCCTTAATTTGTTACACAACAGTTACTAACTTCAAGGCTAAACAATCCTTTCTCAAGTCACATTATCTTGTAGTAAACTTTATATCGATGAGCGACCGTACGTTTGCCATTAAATTTGTCAGTCTAGTGATTCATGTAGTTTGCTGTGAATTACTATTTCCAGTAAGGGCATTCTTGATTATTTTAATCTCTTCATCGTCAGTAAGATCTGATATTTCTCCTTAAACACTTTTCAACAGATGCCCAGATGACCAAGCCCATCTCTCCTGTGACACTACGGCCCTCGACGACTCATGGCCAGGCCTAGGGAGCGGAACGGCGGCAAACTCGGCAGGAGATCTGTCTCAGTTGGCGGTATCTTCTCGCCTTCTGCCTCTGGATGCTTTATCAGCAGAGCACCTGAGTCATCTGCGCAAACTGGCGTCTAAACAATTGACTAGACTTCGGGAACGATTCTTCCCAGCTCATAAAGCACTCACTGCTTGGTGAGTCGGTAGGACCTGAAGATCGGTTCTTAGCTGTTCATTCAATCATTTTATAGGTTTCTGGCAGTTATGCTTTATATTTGAAGAAAAGTTGGGTTTGGAGGAACCTCTTGTTTCATAATTGTTGAGCTTACTTCCATTTCGGGTTAAAGTGTTGATGGAAGAGATTCGAAGGCCGGTTCCACCAGAAGACGACGGGGAATTCCTCTTGACCAGCTGTCGAATGGCTTTAATGGAAGATTCACGCTGACGCTGTTTCCAAGGGAATCTCCTTGATTCCGATGAAAAGGTGCTAAGCTTTCGTCCGTTATATCACGAAGATTATCAGAGCAGGGTATCATCGTCACAACAAAATTCAAGATAACGAATCAAGAAAACTCATCGGCAAGTCCCTAAAAAGTGGTATATATACTCTTCATCTGGCTTTTTTGATTAAGTATAAAGTGATTTGTATGAGTGTAAGGTTTCGAGACTACCAGTAAATCATTGTAATGAGATGTATTCACCCTATTTCGTCTAAAGTGATGAAGGACTGGTAGTAGAATTATCCCACAATGATATGAGTTGAGCCGACGTTTTCCATTGTATTTCACATAGCCTTGCTTTCCCAAAAGTTGTTCTCATCTAGGGTGGACTGAGACAAAATAGGGGGAATACATCTCATTACACTGATTTACTGGTAGTCTCGAGACCGTACTCTCATGCGAATATAAGTAATGTAGTCGATTGCTATAGCAAATATATGTTTGCTTCATCGGCACTCCGACCAAAGAATATGATATAACAAAGAGGCCTGACTTTCTTTGAAATTCACTTTTGCCCTATGACTCAAGGGTACTCGTGGCAGTGTAGCCGAGTGTTTAGCGTGTCAAGTTCCCATCCTGCACTGTCGCGGTTCGACTCCCGCTGAGGGTGTTGATAAGACCGATGCGAGCTCGAAATTGCAGTTCACCCTGGATGAGAACAACTTTTGGGAAAGCAAGGCTATGTGATATTCAATGGAAAACGTCAGCTCAACTCATATCATTGTGGGAAAATTCTACTACCAGTCCTTCATCACCTT